CCCCAAAACCCCAAAACCCCAAAACCCCAAAACCCCGTAAGACAAATCTTGTGAGATTAGATTCAAACTACCAAATTCTTATCCTAAGCATATATTACCAGATTCTTAAGGACTTGTATCTATTTTTAGACATATCATTTAATATAACGTGTAATAAAAGATATTAGATAGGATGTTAGAAAATTATCGTCATATTTGATGCTAATTCATTGCTTTTTTGTGTCTTTGGCAAGGATGGCCTTTGAACGAGTAACGAATTCTAATTTGCATGCCTCTTGATCTTCACCCTTTCTCTTATTCCAGGCTTCCCATTTAAGCTTGCCTACAATATCGAACATGCCTGGCTTGGGATCATTGTTATCTCCAAACTTTCCTTGTCTTCCTGCAGAGTAGAGCTTAAGTCTATCATCTTTGCTCTCTTTGTCTACTAAATCTTTTCTTGCTTTCATTGTAACGATGAGTTGTTCGAATTCCTCATTATCTACTGGTACATCTTAGGCTGACTCCATCTGATTACTTTTATTTTATTAAATTATATAAAGTATTAATCATTGTAAAATTTAAATATTAATGGAGAGCAATTAAACAAAAGACTCATAGGGCGATTTGCCAAGCTATACCAAGGAAGATGTATTTAAATTTTTTATTCATCATGTTTTATTAGGAAGAAATGTGTACTAGGCTACTTGAAAAAAAAGACTACTATGAGATATTAGGAGTTGACAAAAAGGCTACTGATGACGAAATCAAGAAGGCTTATAGAAAGGTAATTTAATGAATTTAACCAATGATCTAAACCCATTGTTATATTCTAACCTTCATCTAATAGTTAGCACTAAAAATGCATCCTGATAAGAATAGAGCCCCAAAGGCAACAGATGCCTTTAAGAAGTTGAGTTAAGCGTTTGCATGTTTGAGTGATGCTGAAAAAAGAAGAAACTATGATTAATATGGCTCAGAGGACTAATATAGACAGCATTTTTAGCAGCAGGATTTTTTCAAAGATGATTTTAATCCTGACCATATATTCAGGATGTTCTTTTAGGGTACAAATATGCGCTAAGGATCAGGTGTTCATTTTAGCAGTTAGAGAATAGATTTGAATGATATTCTAAATGGTTTTATGGGGCCATAAGCAAGAGGGCCAAGAAGGTAACAGAGTTATTAGGACCCGCTTAGTAGTATGTTCGGAATGGGAGGAGGAGCAACGAGAATGACTCAAGGCCCCTTTGGAACTACTTTTACCTTTAGCACAAATATGGGAGGTGGGCCATATAGAAGAAAACCTGCATAATAAGCAAGAGAGCAAATTGATGATAGCAGTGATGAAGATATACATTAGCATTAAAGAAAACCGTAATAGCAATAGCAGTAGCAGAGAGGCTAATAATAGGAATAAAGACCTTAATTTAGATAGCCAACGTAATACTTATATTATTAACTTGTTTTATTAGGCTTAGTGAAAAGTTATATAACTATTTTAAGAGCTTCCTATGGCTTTTGTTCTTTTACTATTTCTTTATTTATGATAGTCGCGAAACAAATACTTTAAAGCATAGCTTATAACCTAGTAAAGTCTATCCTCATGAGGTTAAAACCTACAAGCTTGGTATCTCTTACTTTGTAAACGATGATTTCATCAAAGTTATGAAAGAAGATTCCAAAAAGCTCCATAATGTAATTTCTACCCTCACTTTATATTTTAATCTATAGTATGAAAATAAATTGGAAACTGATGTCTACAATGAGAATTTCAAGCAATGTGAAAAGAAAAAGAGAGAATAATAGAGCATGAGAAATCAAGCCAATAAATACTACGATGAGAGGCGAGAATAAATGCAATAGAGAGCTTAATAGATAGATATGACATCCTGTACTTTAATAGAAAAATATGATTATATGAGAAGCAACCACTGAAAAATACTAAATTTAGACTTTGCTAAGCAAAAGAAGATAGTTGATTAGCTCACTATACTAGCAATCTCTAATATATTTCATCGTGTTTATAATTTAATTATGCTGATAATAATATAAATTAATTAAATTTTATAATAGTTATAAATAAGATGAATACAGGAAATAATATCAATAAGCATAAACCCAAGAGAATCGAGAAGGAACTCCTACTGCTTAGAAACCTGCCCAAGGAATATAAACTCGGAAAGAGAGAGACGCCTCTTGGTACTCTGCTCTATGTATAATCATATCCTCTCTCAATTACACTTTTAGCTTGAAATCGACAAGACTGCAGTTTCAAGTGAGCATATTGATAAAACAATTGAAAAATTTAATTTTGACATCTTGCTTAGAGACAAGTTCCCCTTCTAGCCTCCTCTAATAATGACTAGAACGAAGGTATATAGATAAAGAATAATCTTAATAGTTCTGTTCTCCCTCACTGGCAGATGGCAGAGACTTGCTATTGCATATCATTTCCAAAGACGAGGAAGATTGGCGTCCCTCGATGAATCTTTATGAACTTATTCAGTTGATTCCATATTTCATTGCGGAGCAGGCTAAACTTCAGCACTAAAATGATCAATTAGAAAAGAAAGGCCAACATGTACCCCCTAAGATGCTTGGGAAATTCCATTTAGGATTGTAATACGATATGAATATTTGGCTATCAAATTAAGTTTGTGGCGTATTCCCCTGTCAAGAAGAAAAAGATAATCAGCCAGCGCATAATCCCGCTGATAGAAGCCAAAAACGCAAAGGATATGTAGATGTGTACACAGTAGTAACTGAGTCTGTATTATTATACCTCGAGCCAGACCATAAAATTAAGAACGTAGCTAGACTAGTGGCATGGTTTACCCTGCCTGCTCTTGAGCAGATCAAGCGTAATTTAGACAACCCTGATTCTATCTCTTTCATATGGCGCAAAGTGGATGACTTCGATGCACTTGAATTTAAAATGATAATGTAGAATGCGAATGAATGCGTTAATCTAATTGTCAAGCACCTTAAGAAACAAGGTCTGATAGTGAATAAAAACTATGAAAAGAAGCGTAAAATATTGGAGTCAGAGGTCAATGAGAGCTAATATAAGGAGCTTAATATCAATGATTTGCTAAATACTATAGCCCAATACGAGTAAAGTTTGACCACAAACCCACAAAGTCAAACTGCGCAACACCTAATTATGTTTTATAACAAAGCCATCGAATATTATTCTGCCCTCAATGACGGAAGACATTTAGAGTATCTATAAAAATTGCAAGGACTCTTCTTGGATGAGAAAATATAGAAACTGATGGAGGTTAGTGACTAAGGCTCAACGATTAGCTCCAGCAAATCCAATGGAGAAGTATCCAAACATGAGGAGTCAAAGAGTATTGATACAGATGGCTCTCTATCATCATAAAATTCACAATAAACCCTAGTCACCGAGTAAACATAATAAACATAATAAACAAGCGAAGTAAAGGAAAGCAGCTAGCAAATATAGGCAAGTGATAGTCTAAATAATGGTTAGTCTGATAATTGATTATGTAGAAATTATAAATTTTACCAATCTTATTCGAATTTTCTTGTTCGGGGTTTTGGGGTTTTGGGGGTTTTGGGGTTTTGGGG